ATGTACATACATACATGCATACATATATATATATACATTTATATTTATATTTATAATTATAACCTTGTTTCAATTTGATACAACTATTTAACTATTCTGTGTTTTATCTGATCTGCTCATTTGATTGCTGGTGATGGACCACCACCACCACAACAACAACAACACCACAACCACCACCACCGCCATCAACAACAGCAACAACAACACCACCACCAACAACAACCCAACAACAACAACAACAACCACAACCACCACAACCAACACAACGACCACAACAACCACAACAACCACAACAACCACAACAACCACAACCACAACCACCACCATCACAACCACAACCACAACCACCACAACCACAACCACAAGAAGGAGACTAAGAGAAGTAATCACAACAACGACAACGGCGACGACAACGACAATCGCAACAAAAACTACTGCGGCGACGACCACTACAACAGCAAGTACACCAAAAGCTGACAAACAAACAAAAAAAACACACACACACACACCGGCCTCTCTCCGCTCTCCCCGGGAGCGCTGCGGAAGTGTCGGCAGAAGGCGGCCCAGTCGATCTTGGCTCCCGGGCTGTCGCGACCTTTTTCTGTGTTTTCTACTTTTGCGGGTTGAGGGTCTTGGCGTTTAGGGTTTGCCTTTTAGGGGCTTCGGGTTCAGGGTCTAGGGTTAGGGGTTTGGGGTCCTGGGGTTTTAGGCTTAGTATTTAGGTGTTTAGGCTTCAGGGGTTTAGGGTGCTAAGGTTTAGGGCTCTAGGGGTTGAGCTTTAGGGCTTTGGTTTTGAGTATGATTCTGTTCAGGGCACCCTAAAACCCTAAACCCTAAAACTCTAAAACCTTGAACCCTAAACCCTAAACCCTATACCCCTGTTAGGACCCGAACTGCCGGGCTGAGATCCGGAGCTTCAGAGTCTTCGTTCTTTGGGGAGCATCGACTGAGGATTTCAATGTCGGAGGGCGTGTGACGTCGCCCCAAGCCCAACCTAGAGGGCTACCTGGGACTCTAATTACCTACAGTTTTATAGGTTTTACCTACTAACTAAGGGGTCATGGCTGCTAAACTGTAGGTAAAGAGAGCTACCGGTAAACCCTATAAACCCCATAAACCCTAAACCCAACCTAGAGGGCTGAACCCTATAAGCCCTAAACCCCAGCCTAGAGGATAACCTAGAGTGACTTTCGCCGAGGGTGCCCGAGACAACCTAAGCCCACCTCGCACCCCAAAGCCCTATATACCCCCCCAATAGTTTTGAGGGTTGGTGCAGGTCCGAGTTTGTGGCGGCAACGGTTTAGGGTTTAGGGCTTGGGGTTTCGAGGTTTAGGGTTTAGGGGTTTAGGGGTTCAGGGGCTTAGGGGCTTGAGGTTTAGGGTTTAGGGGTTTAGGGGTTTAGGGTTTAGGGTTTAGGGTTTAGGGGTTTAGGGGTTTAGGGGTTTAGGGGTGTAGGGGACCAGCACCTATTGCCATGGCTTTGAGACGCCGGCCACAGAGCGCCACCATGTACTCCTGGAGAAGCAGGGCGTGCTTCTTCTCATCTGCGTGCATCAGCGAGGCCAGCTCCTGCAAAGAGCATGAGAGTTTCAGGGAATCGGGAAAGAAAAAATAAGCAACCCTAAATAGTAGATAACCCTAACACACAAGATAGTCGTATCACTAATGTAAAGACTCTGAACAAGGTACCCCTCATTTCTGAAAGGGAGGAAGCCCCTGAAGCCACGTAACCATGAGCCCTGGACCCCTACACCAATCAAACTACTGTTGATGATATAAATCCTGCATTACCTTAAGGACCCTAAGCTATGGGATTTATGCTATATATTATATATTCCACATTATGGGTACGTAATGCAGGATTTACGTCATCAACCGTAGAACCCTGAAGGCCCTAATTAGAAGCACAGAAGCCCTAAACCCCTAAGCTTAACACCTGGAAGCCCCAAAAAGCCCTAAAGCCCCCCACAAAAGCCGTGAAGATACCGGACCTTCAAGCCCAGCAGCCCATCGCCGTCGGAATCCTCGGCTTGCGACACCCAGGTTTTGGGTGTTTAGGGTTTAGGGTTTTTGGGGTTTTAGGGATTAGGGTTTAGGGATCAGGGTTTTAGGGTTTAGGGTTTAGGGTTTTAGGCTTCGCGGTGTAGGGTTGTTTTCTTTGGGGTGGCCAGAATAGGTTCACATTTCCCAGTACAAGTAAGCCTGGTTCTCGAACCCTCATTCCGCAAAAATATCGAGGCCTGAAAATCTGGCACACAGTGATCTATACCATCTCCTGATCATCTCCATAAAGTTATACCATACTACAACCCAGAAAACACATTTAATTCTGACTTCCCACTCAGAACCGCAGAGGTGCGCAAATCGTCCTAAAGATGCTATTCTACTTACCTAGGCCTCGGTCATGAAACCCTTATATAATCCCCGAATGCCAAATAAACCCTAAGGCCCCAAATCCTGATCCCTTGAATGCTGGAACCCGACAGCCCCAAACCCTCCGATGATGGCGCTGGAGGGCCGCAGCATCGAAGGCACGCCGAAGGAAGGCCTCGGCCTGGCAGATGTTCGTCTCTTCTTCGGTAAGGGCTCCCTTTAGGCGTTCTTTCAAAGGACTCCCTAAACCCTAAACCCTACAAACCCTAAACCTTATAAACCCTATAAACCCTACAACCCCTATAAACCCAAGAAGCCCTATAAGCCCTGTAAACCCAAACAAAAACCCATAAACCCTATAAAACGCTATAAAACCCCATAAACCCCAAAAAAGAACCTATAAACCCCATAAACCCTACAAGCCTCAAAAAACCTAAAAACCGGGGTGCCCCAAAACCCTATAAACCCCGACACTCCCGAGGCGCTTTGCCTGGCTACCTTTCAAGGGGGGTGCCTCACAACCCTATAAACCCCGAAACTCCCAAGTCGCTTTACCAGGGTCCCTTTCAAGGGGGTCTCGACTTCAGGGCACTAGAAGGGCTTCACTCAGAGCTCCAGGGTTTAAGGACCCAGGAGTCTTGACGGCTTTAAGGGTTTATAGGGCTTATAGGGTTTATGGGCTTTAGGGTTTTAGGGTTTTAGAGTTTTAGAGTTTAGGGTTTTAGGGTTTAAGGGTTTTACGGTTTAGAGCTTGGGGTTTAAGGACTTTGGGTGTTTCGGTGCTCAAGAATATCTTTTGCCTAGGGCTGAGGGGTTTATGAGCTTTGGGGGGTCAGAGCGGTGGAAAACACCACTCAGGTTTGGTTGAAGGCTTGGGGGTACTGGGGCTTTGGGACTACAGGCTTCGTAGGGTTAAGGGGTTTCTGTCTGCTTCCTTCAGGGCTTGGAGTGCATATAACACCTGAAGGGTCTGATGCTTATAGGGTTTAGGATCTAGGGTTTAGGGTTTATGGTTTAGGGGTTGAGGGTTTAGGGGTTTAGGGTTTACAAGAAAGCCAAGAGTTTACAAACCTTGCAGCGTGTAGGGCTGGGGTCTACAGATTTCGGACGGTCCAGGGTGTGCGCAGCGGTGACGCTGGAGGTGGGGGCGTTGACTTTGAGAGGATTCGAAACGAAAGCAGCATCACTCAACCCTAAATTCCCTAATAATGACCCTACATACCCTAATAATGACCCGAAAAAACCTAAAACATACCCAGAATACCCTGATTATGACCCTAAATACCCTAACTATCATCCTAAGTCCTTCAACCCGAGACCAACTGAGTAGAAGCCTCCTTTGACCACGGCGGGCCAGGTCCTACTCCTGCTCAGGGGTGAAACGGCCCTCTTCCCTTCGTTTTGAAGGCGACGGCACTCAGAGTATGCGAGGATGGTTGTCGGTGTAAGCCACGAAAGGGACGCAACCCTTAACCCTCTAAGCCCTAAAACAACTACAAGCTATGGCTTCGGGCTCATTACGACAACACTTCCTGGCTCGTCTTGCAGTCCGGCAGTCTCTGCGCCACCTCTCATGGACCCGGCTTGTACTGCAAGGTGGATCTGCAGCCGCTGTTGTTGCCGTAGTGGTTACTTCCGTGGGCTCCATAGTAGAAGAACCGATCATCCTGCAGCACTGATGGCAGAACATGACAGCTTCGGAGAAGTCAGGAACCCTAGTGCAACAGGACATAGTAGGAGTCTTATCCTGAAGGCCCCTAGTCTTTGTGACAGGAATCTCTCATTCTAAGAAACCCCACATATGCCGGGAGTTGGAAAGCGGTGCAGCCGCAGCGAGGGCCCCAAGTTCCTGTTGCACCTTGAACCTCCCAGTGACTCCCGAACCTTTTCAGAGCAACATACCTAAATCATGGAGGAACCCAGAATATATTATGAGCTCTTCGTATCAGAAGCTTCCTGTAAATGATTTACGGTAAGAGTATACTCCTCATTACGAGCGTTCTCGATTTTCTGGGGGCGAAAAGCTGTCGGGCTAGTTAGTTTTTCGTATAAGTGTCCAATATAATCTAGTACCAGTAGAGCAGCGTTACCATTGAGGCGGTTGGAATCCGCAAGACGGCTTTAGGGCCAGGACGTTGAAGGTGTAGGGCTTACATTTAGGGTGTAGGGTCTCTAAAGCAGTGAAACTTCTTCTGGGACACCATCTTGGGTTTAGGACTAATTAGGGTTTCGGATCCTGGTAGCATCCGTAGCTGACTAGGAACACCTGGAAGGCGTAGATTAACCCTAAACCCTCAAAGCCGAACCCTGACCCTCGACCCAAAACCCTAAACCTTCAAAACTAAACTAATCCGTCATCCTTCACCGTGCAGTTGCCCACGATCTGGCGTCCAAGAGAGCCAACCCGGCGCGTGCGCTCCGTGGGGAAGATATTTTGAGACCTGTACAGGGATGTGATGTAGATTCCTGATATCTCCCCTGATTACTCTACACCCTCCCAAAACGTCTATCCAAAGGAGTTTAAGGTTGGCTCCAAGCACCCGAAGCCCGAAAGCCCTGAACCCCAAACCCCAAAAACACTAAACCCCAAACCCGAAACCCTAGACCTCCAAACCCCCTAAACCACTAAACCCCAAACCCGCAACCCCTAGACCTCCAAAACCCCCTAAACCCCCGGGGCCTGGATCCAGACTGGAAGGGAATCACCCCTAGGCCCTAAACCCTCAAGCCCAGGGCCTGGATCCCACACCCCCCGAACCCCCAACCCCAGGGCCTGGCTCCAGACTGGAAGGGAATCACGAAGCCGCCGGTGACGCTCGCAGGCCAGGTCGCATCCGCACTCAGCTGCGCGTAGGAGCCGTTCGGCTTGGGAAGCGCATACTCGGCCTTGGGATCCTTCGTAGGGTTTATAGGGTCTTAGGGTTTATAGGGCTTTAGGCTTTAGGGGTTTAGGGGTTTAGGGTTTAGGGTTTAGGGGTTTAGGGTTTTAGGGTTTTAGGGTTTAGGGTGAAGACCCCGGAAGAAGGTCCTTTAATTTCAAGAAACCCCTCAGCAACCTCCCGGAACCCAATCACCCCAAACCCATTCCGCGGCAATCCTGTCCGCGGGTGCCGTAGGACAACGCACGCGTGGCCGCATTCAAGGTGCCTCCCATGAGCAATCGCCACACCCGAACAACCTATGTAATGTATACTCCTGGAACACTCAACTTTTGACTTCAGATGGAGCCCTACTAATATAGAAATAGGGTTTTGGGGACAATTAGTTAAGTGAACTTAGAGTAAGGAACTCTATGGAACAGTGATAATGCTTATGTAGGTTTCTGTATTCAACCCATACCTCAAAGCCTAAACCCAACATTCCTGGTACAAAGACTAGTGGGGTCAAACTTCGGGTGGGTCCCACTCGAACCCCCAAGGTTAATTCCAGAGTCCTAAAGGTGGGGACGAAGTTAGAGCCCAAAGCCAAACCCGTGTAGTTAGAATATTTCAGTCCACTTGTCCACATGCCAAACCCTACGATGTCCACCCGAAACCCTGAACTCCAACATCCGAAGACTTTTCCCCGGAGGCCCGGCTATAAATGTCCAAATGCTTCCACTAGGGTTTTGTCCGTCAGGGAACCCTCACAAGCGCTTTTAACAATTATCCAAACCCCTGTGCATGTGTGTAAATAAATAAATAAATAAATATATATACACATGTATATATGTGTATGTACATATATACAAATTTCTTATTGGATACAAGTGTCTGTGTATACATATGTTTATATATAATATAATGTGTATGTATATGCGGGAACATATATGCATATAGATGCATGTGTATATATCTATATGTGTGTGTGTGTATTTACAGATGTCTCTATATATATATATATCGATATGTGTATGAAGACTTTGAGCCCCCAAACCGGCTATGACCTGAGGGAAGTCGAGGTGCCCACGTCAGGGTCTACTCCAAACAGCCGATGGCGCGAGTCTCCCACGCCGGAGGTACGCAAAGCATGGTACTCCTGCGACGCGGCGGGTCGGGGCCTATAGGGGCTGTACCCCATAAAACCGAAACCTTCTTATGAGATTTCTAGGATATGGGCTTCGACCTTGACATTGGCAAGCTCCGGGGAGCAGGATTGGCAACTTCGGGATACTTGAAACAAGGGCTTGACAAACCCGAAGTAGAGGCTGCGATAGGGACTAACAGTGACTAACAGGCTGTTGGGATTTATACCATGAGTAGACTGCCGGCGGTTGGCGAAACCCTTAAAGTCCAAACCCGAAGTCCTAAACCCAATCCCTCTAAACAAACCGGTGCTGTGATATTGCTCCGATGCATGCTGCATACTTCGTGCAGTGCAGGGATTCTCGTCCCAGGGTGGACGACCATCTGGGTTCTTTAGGCTTCGAAGAAGGGTGCTGACAGAATTTGTAGGATTGTTACGAACGAACTTGCTGGCGTGTAAGTAAACCGGACAGTAGGACAGGGATACAAAGTGCATAATATGCTTCCCCTGGTGAGCTGCTATGGAAACGTAATGCAACTTAGCTTGAGCTTCTTCACAGGAACCCCTCCAAGCATGCATCCCTAAACCCTACCTGGACCCTTAAGAACCTCCCTTTTCAGGGCTCCTTATTATGATTTCCTTATATACCTCCAGAAAAAGGTAGGTTCTTCGGGGTCTAGGTAAACCCTAAACGCCCTAAACATGGTCCCGTGGTTGCTTTCGGCTCAAGGTTCCAGGCTGGGTGCTCTTGGCTACCAGCAACCATCCAGCAGGCTCTGTCTAAGCGCGATGGGTAGAATACACAACCTGACCACAAAAGCTAGATCCGTTAGTATGTCTTTTCCGACGAAGAGCCACACAAGATCAAAGCCTCTAAGTCTAGAGGGTTCAACCCGGAATTGGCATGGTACGTACTATGTACATAGAGATTAGATTGGGGCTCTGAATCCCAGTCCTCCGAAGCTCTAGGCCAAGGGCTCCAACCCCATAATGCAGGATCTTTGTCTCAAACCGGGCAGCCTCGAATGGACAAAACACTGACTGGAATCCCAAAGAGGTGTCACGCTAATTAGAACGAGATGCATGATCATTGCTATGCGGCATCAAAGTGCGTTGTATACTCCCAATCTGCATCCTGATACATTATATAAATATACAAGAAACAATTAAATTATGTAAATAGCAATGTTAACAATGATAGTAGATATCTTACGTAGAACTGCAGGGTTTGCCAGAAGATCGTACTCACGAAGGTGCGCCCTTACATGGAAGGCCCCCCCTCCTCGCGCGTCCGGGCCCCCTCCCGGAAGTCGTGCACGCCGAAGGTCACGCCCCGGTTCTCCAAGCTCGACATGGCTCCAGCAAAACAGAGCCCTCAAAGGCGGCAACAACGGCCACAAAAATCCCGAGACTCAGAGGCCCCTAATCTTTTTGAGTATAGCCGGGTGTTCTCTGAGGAAACTCCAGGCTACTTCCATGAATCTGCTGTGAGCCCAGAGGAGCCGTTCAGGCTGAAAACTGGGTCCTGCTTGTACTGTTGCAGTTTTTGTTCCGCCTGGGCGCTTCTTGAACCTCCTATTGAACCCTAGAAAGCCTTAGTAAACTCTCAAAGGACCCGTTTCAACTAAACCGCTTCTAGAACCCGTCTTCACCCCTTCTAAACCCTGAAAAGCAACCGGTGGAATCCTCATAAAGCAGTTTAACTCTCTTAGGGGCTCTAACCCCAAACCGAAAACCCAAAAAACCCTAAACCTGCAACACTCCCCCCCCCTCCAAACCTTAAACCCTAAACCCTAAACCCTGAACCCCTAAACCCTAAAATAAACCCAAAACCCTAAACCCCTAAACCCTAAGCCCCTCCAAACAAAAAAAAGGAGGATGAAAGGAGCCTTTGGGTCGCCGAGGTCCACTAAGGCCGCCACGAACTCGGTCCAATCCTGGGCTCTTCTTGAAGGGTTTCGGGGTTTAGGGGGTGAAGGGTTTAGGGGTTAGGGTTTAGGGGGTTTAGGGGTTTAGGGTTTAGGGGTTTAGGGGTTTAGGGGTTTAGGGGTTTGTGGGTTTGTGGGTTTAGGGTTTCGGGTTTAGGGTTTTGGGGTTTATGGGTTTCTTTCCTTTGGACTCCGTTTTGGTGCCTGCCCGATCCTCTCAAGCAAACCCAAGGCACACATATGCGCCAAGAGACGGGTTTAGCGGTCTAGGCTTAGGGGTCTAGGGGTTTCGGGTTTAGGGGTTTAGGGTTTAGGGGTTTAGGGGTTGAGGGGTTTAGGGGTTTCGGGTTCAGGGGTTTAGGATTAAGGGTTTGGGGGTTTCAGGTTTAGGGTTTAGGGGTTTGGGGGTTTCGGGTTAAGGGCTTAGGGGCTTCGGGTTTAGGGTTTAGTTTAGGGGTTTCGGGTTTGGGGGTTTAGGATTTGATTAAGGGTTTAGGGGTTTCGGGTTTAGGGGTTTAGAGTTTAAGGGTTTAGGATTAAGGGGTTTAGGGGTTGCGGGTTCAGGGGTTAGGGGTTTCGGGTGTAGGGTTTTGGGGTTTGGGGTTCAGGGGTTTAGGATTAAGGGTTTAGGGGTGTCGGGTTTAAGGTTTGAGGGTTGAGGATTTCGGGTTCCAGACTAAGGTGTTTATCAGGTGTTTGATAATGTAAGTTGCCATAAATAAGTTTAGAGTTACCATAATGAGGAAACCATCCCATTTACCCTAGGCCCCTTTTGTAGTAACTAAATCCCTGAACACTATGATAATCATAACAGGATTTGAGGTACCACAATAAGGATTCGCTATAGATGCCTAGTACGGCGAATTCAAGTAAACCCGTGAACAAGGACCCAGAATCCAGCATCGGAGGACTGCCGTCTGCCTCGGGAAGGCTTTTCAGGGCTGTAGGTTTTTTTGTTAAAGCCCGTTTTCTATCCAGCAAGTTCGCCGTCTAGAAAGCCCACTGGAGGTTGTAGGGTTTAGGGCTCTGGGTGTGAAGGTTTAGGGTTTGGGGTGTGTAGGTTTTGGGCTCAAGGCATAGAGTCTGGCCAGGGGAGCTTGCGTAGTGCTGCTTTTCTTTGGCAGGGTGCGATGGGGTTGCGAAGAGCTCTATAAGTGTTGACATGCTTTCTACGGTGCTTCAGGTTGTTGTACTGGAGGTAACCCGTTTCCTAGGAGCTCCTTGCTATAAAGAAGAAGAACGAAGCGTAGCCTCTTTCCGAGCACCCAAGATAAGAAATGTGCTTGAGGGTACCAGCCGGGACCCAGCTGGACATGTAGGTGCAAAGCCTATCAGAGCCGAATTCTTCGGGGCGTTGAGGCGTTGGGAGCTTCGGTTTCGGGTTTTTGGGGTCTTGGGCTCTGGGCCCGGGTTTGATCCTCATGGCTTCGTGCTTGGCTTAAAGTTTAAGACTTAGGTGTCGGGGCGGCAGCTGAAGCTCTAAACCCCAAGCCCTAAAAACCGTGGTTGAGCTTCAGCGGTTGGGGTTGAATGTTGGTGGAGTTTAAGGGATTGGGTCTTGCTGCGTTCATCCTGCGAGCAATCAAGCAGAAGATCATGAATTCTTTAGGGCTCCTTGTTATGTAACTATGATATACCCAAAAACCTTGTGCTAATTGTGAGGGCCGCCATAAATGGTTGAAGAGGGAGACGAGAAAGAAAGAGGTCAACATTTATCTCATGCCGATTTAAACCGCGACTGTGACCAATGTTCTGCTAGTTGCTCGCAATACCACTGTGGTACCGTGCAATCAGTGTCAAACAAATTGTGGGGCTGCTCGCTTCCTCGCTGTTTTTGGCCCTCCCGAGCTATGCAGATTTGTTCGCCCGAGCCGAGCGTTTCGAAGCTCCACTCCCGGTATAAACAATCCCGCCGGCAATACTGGAGGGTTTATAGTATCTATAGATTACGCAAAACCTTAAACCCTAAGCCTAAACCTCTTCGACTCTGACGGAACCATATTCCCAGCCAGCTCGCGACCGCGGCAGCCGCCCGCTGGGCTCGAGCATCACCCAAGACGGGTCGTAGGGCGGCACCTGGATGCAGCCAGGGGTCGAAACTGTTGGGACTTTCCGAAAGTTAGGGTACCGTATTTTCGGGTTCTTATAATAAGGATCCTACTATTTAGGGTACTATATTAGGGTCCCCTATTTTCGGAAACCCCCTTTTCAGTATAACCTCTACACCGTAAACCTTCTGTCTGGGGGCTCGGGGCATGGCGAGGAAGGCTGGAAAGTATGTAAAGCTCCACGGCAGCTCTCGGGGTCTGGGGCAAACTAGAGACGAGGGGAAGCCATCATGATCTGAACAACCTGGTTATAGGAGATTCGGGAAGCGGGCATGTGAATAATGTAGGGGCCTTAATAATTGGAATAGGGTTGTGGGGCCCAATATACTATACTTGTAATAAGGAGCCACCAAAATAATATAGGCAATTATTTAAGCCCCTACATTATGCCTAAGCTCAAGACGCGTCCCCCATGTTTGACACGAGCTTTCCTGTACACATCCTTGGCATTTAGGATCAAGATAAACCCAAAACCCTAAATCTAAGGTGGAAACCATTGGCCCCTAGAACGGGCCCTTGTCCCTACACCTACTATATACCCTATATGTACCCTTAAGAGTCCCTAGAAAGGCCTAAGGGNNGTAATTATTTAGGGCCCTATATTATAGGTTCTGAGTTGCAGGAGCAAGAGCCTTCTCCCTATTCAGGGACCCTGCTGCTGCCCTGTCATGAACTCTAGGCTTTCACCGTAAAGCACTAGACCCCAAGACCACTGTCCCTGTCCGAAAGCATTCATATCGAGGCTTCGGCATACCTACTAAAAAAAGAGTTTATGGTTTAGGGTTCAGGG